TTTTTTTTTTTTTTTTTTTTTTTTTTTTTTTTTGTTTCAAGGGGCATTACTTCATCCAGAAAACGGATAAGGGTGACCAAAATACCCATGGTTGCAGGTTCTGCAGTACTATAAATGGAAGCAGTTCAAAGAGGGTGATTTGATCACACACTACGCTGCCTCTTGTGGTTGGAAACAGGGATAATCAGTCACTGATGACATGCTGCAGGAAATAGTTTAGAAAGATGCAAACACACCGACAAATTTAAACAAAGTGAATGGTTAAATTTTAACCCTGTAAGAACTTCGTATCTCACCGGAGTTTTAGCATTACAATATATAACACTGTTCATGTCCATCTGCTGTTGTACTTGTGCATTATATTTATGTAAATGTAGAAAAGATGAGTCACAGTCTTGTTTGCAGAGTTCGTTCCCCTCTGCACTGCCCCCCACCCCCTCATGTCTGCTCCTGTACTGACCTTTTCCCCAAACTTCCGTCCTCCCTCCATTTCAGTCATCTCTGTCCTGTTTCTCTTTTAACTCATCCCTGCCAGCTCCCCGCACCCCCCCCCCCTTCGTTTCCACGTCCATGCACCTTCACTCCCCACATGTTTCTCTGTGGATGACCTCAGCAGGCCTTGACTAACATTAGCTCAGCCACCTCCTCCTCTTTTCAGCCTCTGATGATGAGGAAGCCTCTGCTGCGACACTGATCCTGAGACAGAGCAGGAGAACCCTGGAACAGGCACAGCAACCCGACTGATTCCGATGGTGTACAGAGACTCTTTGTGTATCTCTTTACCACTGCTTCTCTTGTTCTTTTAAATCATTTTTGATGTTTTGTTTATGATTTTTTTTTCTGAGACTGTTTACTTTTAAGTGATGAAAAAGATATTCTTGGTCAGTGTGTTTTAAGTCTAAGGCTTTGAGCTGCCTTGCTCTTTGCGTCCTGCTTCCTCTCAGCAGAAAAGCCTCAGCTGGATGAGAGCTCTCCAAGGATTTCTCTGCTCTATGTTAAGGTTTTACAATTCACTGCACAACTTTATTTTTTTTAGAAACTGTAAATTTTACATCATTTTCTGCTTTTTAAAAGGACACCACCTCAACACTTTGCTCTTATTTCAAAGTGTAATCTGGATTTACTGCATTTACAACATTTCTTTATTTCATTGATGTCATTCTGTCTCGAGGAAAGTGGGAGGCGAGTTTACTGGACTTGTTATGTGTCCTGCAGTTTGCTTCCCTCACCTTTTGATTCCACACTCCTTCCATCTTCATTTTTCTGCTCTGTCACTCTGGAAATCTACTCAGTCATGCCTGCTCAGTCAACTTTCCTCTCCTGTTTTTGAGTTCTCCTCGGAGGATTTCTGAATCACTGCACCAAGCAAGAGCAGAGAAATGCTAATAATATTGAGAGGGGTGTTTGTTTGAGGCAAAAATATCGCAGTTGCTGTTATTTTGCCTCAACTTCAATTAGTCTTACACTTTTAAGATGGCTTTGTGATTGTTAAAGCTAGAATTTGCCCTATGAAAAACAAGACATGTTTATGATCCCATTAAGAAGGACTCATTGCATGAAATCTAATTTAAAAAGTCACACTGAAATGCATCAAATTATGCCATTTGAAAGGGTTCATATAGTTGTGGATTTTCATTAGTTTTAAATGCAGTTCTGAAATGTGGGAAGGCGCTCAGTGTAAACAAACACTCAGTGGAATCTGTTAAAAACCACTAAGAAGCTTGAGGCTGATTGGCTCTGCATGGAAACAAATGTGTCGGAATCAGACCGGTGCAGAGTTAGGATGAAGACATTTAGGTGAAAATATGAACATGAATTTGTCGCTAAACACACACAATAAAAACATGAAAAGAAAAACTGAGACCACAGTCAAGAAACAATTTTATGGATCAAGCAGGGTGATGGAATTTCATAAAAACTTCTTAACCAATAAGTTTACTTTTTGAGCCTTACCCAGTTTTTAGCTTGATATTTTACTTGACAAATCCCAGTGTAAATACGTTCCAGCTCCTTCACATACAGTATGTCACCATTGTTGACCTTTAGCCATCAAACACATGTTAGCAGCCATCCACAAAATTTTGCTTACAGTTTATTGATTTTAAGCACAAATTAAGCTTTGGTACAAGACAAATAGTGTGCAGATTGTGTTTTTTACTTGACGTTTATTTTTAAGCAGTCTTCACTATTGTGCAATGAGTACTTTTAAATGCAAATGTCCTGCCATGTTGGTCAGAGATGTATATTTAGTCATGCGCCAACATGATGGAGCAAAGTGCATCTATGGGCGGTGACAAGCTGGGTGTTGTGTACTTTACTTATTAGAGTTTAATACGTTACAGCTGGGTGTATGGTGTGGGAAATGTTTGTATTTTCCATGGTTGTACTTTTACTTCCAGACAAAACAAAATTTGTACATTGCTTAAAGATTCTAATCAAATTAATTTGATTCTAAATGTGTTGTTTATGAAATGATGGACACAAAATGTAAAAAAAAAAAGTTTGTTTTTTTCAATTGTGATCAGATGCAACTAAGACCGTTCATCTGGAAATTAGGTCAGCTGTCATTATAATGGAGTTTATTTTAATCAAATATACATAACCAATAAAGTTCAAATAAAAATAAAAACAATGTAAAGGTAGTTAAACTGTAATATCTGGAATGCCATTTTTTAAAGAGATCTGAAAGGAGTGGTTTTACACACTTATAAATTCTTGGAAATTGTGCAACATTTTTAAACCAATTCTTGACATTTCACTCTCAAGCAGTCAACTTTCTTGTCATCACTTAAGTGATCTTGATCAATAATTCTCATAACAATGAAGCAACCAAAGTCCAAAGAAAGCCCCACAGAGACCTTTAGAGCCACAGCAGATCAGATAGTTCCATCGGTCGAGCAGCTCTTCATTGCTGTGTAACTGCATTCTGGTACAATTTCTGTTTCTTAGATTTTCTAACGCTTTCTGTGAAAATGGAGTATTAGTCTTTATGGGTAAATTGCAGGGAGACAATGAAGCTGACTCTCTGGCCACACATGAAGATGATGTGCCATAATTACAGTAACTGCCTGCTAAATGGGCTGAGCGTAAAGCTCAGTGACTGAAGCAGATTGGGAGACTGAGAGCCTGGCTTGCCTTTCTGGTTATAGCAAGAGATTTCTCCAAGGCTAATCCAATGTCTTGGTGGCCAGCAAACTTTTACATAACAGTCTGGCTTTTTAAAAATGAGAATCTGTTTGGCAGGTCAAATGAATAACTGGATACTTAAGTCACTGCACAGTTGGATACTTTTTAATTAATATTTTAACTGGCTGGCCAAGAGAATTGTGTAGCAAGTCCTGCTTGTCTTTTTGGCTCCAGTTTGGAACATTTTATGTCTTATCAGCTTCTACCATTTGCTCCTATTAAGTTTTTGTCTTCTAATCACCCACCCATTATCCTTTCCAGTGTTTGTGTTTTCTTTCTTTGTGTTTTCTCCAAATCTCTGCTTCATTTTTATGCTTGTTTTTTGCATGTCCTCAACACTGCAGCCATCTTTGTTTGTATTCAAGTCGTCTTCATCTTTATTCTGCACTTTAATAGGACCACAGCACCAAACACCCGTCTTTTCTCTGTCATCTTTCTCTTACTTGCCCTTACTATTTTTTCTCCCTCAACCTTCTGACTTTTGCGCTCATTCCTTCTTCTCCTCTCACCTCCTCTCACTTCTTTTTTCTGGCTTCGCCCTGACTCATGATGCCACATTAGGCAACACTAAAAGATGACGATTTAATCCCAGGGGCATAAATTTCATGCACAAACAAATATCTCACGAAAAAAAAAATCAGTCACCAGCAGCCCTGCCTTAAAACTAAGATATGTATTTGTGAATAATAGACCTGCAAAAGGGATTTGARGTGAATTAGCTTCCACATAATTTGTATCTGTTTTCATTTTAAATTCACGTCACTTGTCAGATCAAATGTATATTTAATATGTCTGATTTCTTTATGTAAGAAATCCAGATTAAGTGATGAAAGTTTTTAGTCCTCCATGTTGATATTAAAACAAACTTTTTGCAACATGCAAGAACCAAACATCACCATCCCTCTTTTAAATTAACCCAAAAGAGTTTCCTTAAAAGATTTACTGTAAACAAGTGATCTGGACATAGATATTTATTGTAAGATACCTGGTTGCACAACATCAGTAACATGTAATTAAAAAGTTGGTTCAAACTTTCAGTCGACTGCTTTTAATAGAATGTTTTCATCYCTGATCGTCATCTCTGCTGCAGAGTGCTGTTAATAACGACTCTGTGGAGCTGTTAGAGGWTCTTTTTCCTGTTCATTAACATTATGATTCATGTTGAGTCGATAAAATGAGCCATACAAGTGCTGATGTGTTTGAAGACATTTGGGGAGAAAGGTTTTTTGTTTGCTCTGATCATCAATAGGTGGAGCGGGTTTTTTTATGTATTCAGTGATGATGATGATGATGATGATGATGATGATGATGATGATGATGATGATGGTGATGATTATGATGATGATAATGTGTCAAAAAGAAAAAGTTCTGTATAAAATTAAAGTGGAACCTAAACATTTTAAAATTTGTATTGTGATAAATAAATGTTTTCTTTATTTTTAATTTATTTTTATTTCTGTAATTGTTTTTATGCAAGATTTTAGAGCCATCACAACACTTCACTTCAATCTGAAAATAGAAACTGTRGTTTTTGTTTGTTGTTGACAAATTCACTGTCAGTAACCAGAAACACAAAGAGTCAAGCCTAGTGAGTTGGTTGTTTTGTGTGTAGCTGAATGTAGCATGTAACATTACTTAAAGMTTGTATTTTATTGTTTAATGGAATATATAATATTTAATGTATTTACTATATAGGTCCAGTTTGTCAAAATAATAAATGTGATGATTTGAAGTGAGGTTCTAAGGTTATGAACAATGAATGTCTTACTTGTAAAAGCTCTTTGAACTGCCTCAGATTAGTTGTTATGGAGTCTCAGTCATAACAGMGTGAATAAAAGAACAATTCTGAAAATATCAAACATCTTGGTTTTGTTCACGTTTTACCTCAAACTGGAAAAAAATAAAGTTTAGGTGAGTTCAGAATGATGAGCTAACAGCTTGTTTAAATCGGGCTAAGATCAAACTGGATTGCCGCCTTTTTAAAACATCAGTGTGAAAATCTGCAGCATCTCTTTTACATTAGTGTCAATACTAAGTATTGGATAAGAAAATTAAAATGATATTATATTCCTGCAGGAAGTGCCCCAGGCAGAAGTAAACATGCTAAAGCTAAAAGCTGCTGTCACTATTAGTGCTTGATTATAACAGATTAATTAAATGTAAATAACTATGTGATGTTAAATGTTTTCCTGTAAATGATTTGTGATTGGAGATATTCTAAAACAGCTGCAGTACACTTTCGTCTTGACTTTGCTCAGACTGGCCATTAAGTTTATTACTCCGGTCAGAATTTAAATCTATTTATCCAAAGTGAGTTTGTTCAAAGACTTGTCTACAAGTTAGAAATGACTTGGTCATAACTTTTTTCATAAAAAATCATTACTTCAAATGATTTGAGTGATTGCTTGAAAACTTGTGAAATGAACACTTTTACCAAAACCAGCGGAGGCTGACTGAAATATCTGTGTAGAAAACRACTTCCAGAATAAGACACGTCACAATTATTCTGGAGTAGTTTTATGATAGGATAAAGTTTAACTTTTTGACTCGTTTTATTGAAAATAATTCCTTTTTTATTATTATTTATTTGATGCCCAGACAAATCCATGTGAGTGGTTCTTATTTATCAAGTAAAATGTGATCCATTTCTAAACCTCTGCTGGTTTTGTCGGTGGTGTTCAGCTCCCGTTGTACAATTATTTATAATCACGCTGCCTGCCTTCAAGCTGCACTTGCTTTCACTGTAATTTAATTTCTTGGTTTGAAGATTCTTCTGTGTATTCTGTCTGGATCTCTGTCAAAGTGTTTTTATTGTACATTTGACCCCCCTTTTATTTTCAGTGTGAAAAAAAGGTCTTCTCTGATTAAACTGCACTTGTCTTGTTTCTGACTGAACAGTTCAATCTGAAAGCATGTTATTGTGTTTTTGTGTTTTATTATTTTCATAAACTGTTTCACAAAAGCCTGTTTGATTAATTAGATGAGATTAGGCTGATTAAAAAGAGCTCGATAAGAATTTAATAGGCTCGCTTTCATGTGGATTACAGAGGGAGCCGCCTCGAGCAGAAAACCATAACGCTCCACTTCTGAAAGATGTCTTGTCATTTACAGCGCTGCCTGGGTTTATGCTCTTTATAGATCTCTTGCACATATTAATGTGTTTGTCTGTGTTTACTTCCTTTTTTTAATCTTTAAGTGCATGCACAAAAAAATCCATTTACCTCTTAGCACGAGTGAGCAGCCTCCTCCTTTCTGTATTTGTGTCTCTTTTATTCACTTCTGTCTTCTCAGCTGGAGAGTTGTACTGAGTCAAACTGAAGTCCCAGTGGAGTCAAATAGAATCAGATAAAAGCATAAAACAGGATGATGGAAGTCAGAAGATATAAAGTGTCAGCCTGAGACAATGTCTTTTAAAAACAAATATGTGTCTAATTTTATCAGTGGCACATTTGTCTCTGTTAGGATTTGGGAGCTACTGTATATGTTGCTCCCAAGCTGCTGGATTCTCTTGATCTCTGCTATGTTCCTCCAAACAGCTGTATTTCTCCCCTTATGCTGGTTTTCCAGGAGGGTCCGTATGTGATGCTGAAGAAGAACTGGGAACTCTACGAAGGCAAYGACCAGTTCGAGGGATACTGCGTGGACCTGGCTTCAGAGATCGCCAAACACATCGGAATCAAATACAAGATCTCCATAGTGCCTGATGGCAAATACGGAGCCAGAGACGCCGAGACAAAGATATGGAACGGCATGGTGGGCGAGCTTGTGTATGGGGTAAGGAAGGAAATGGGATAGATTTATTTTGTAGTTGTGTTAATGAAATCACAGAGTTTTCCTTATCAGAAGTGTATAGTAACTAAGTACATTTACTTTGTTACAGTTCTTAAGTAGTTTTTTTAGACTCAGTAGTTGTTATAAGTATTTTTTGTAAACAATAACTTTTGTTACATTCAAAACATGAAAATAATACTTCTTTATTTTAAAATTTATCACCTTCTTGCACGCTCAAATTTAAATATGACCAATTTGTCCTGTTAGGAGTTGATTATGTACTCTAAACAATTATGTGTGGAATTTACTTAACCAAGTTATGGGTTTATTCATTGTTGTTGTTGCTGTTGTTGTTAACCGATTTTAATAGGTACAGCTGAGAACCATTTCTCATTTGCAGTGATGACCTGGTCAAGAGGCAACAACACAACACAAAATGTCTGCTTTACATTTACTCAACTTTGCTCAGTGGAACCAGTTGACACAATGTGGTTAAGTTGCTTCAACAGTTCATTTCTTAGACTGTATGTAAAAGTACTTTTACTTTCACAATCATTGTGAGCAGTTTTATAACTTTTACTTGGATACTTTTCTTATGGGTGAAATAAATTTCAATCAGTCCACTTTATTTGTACTCGCAGGTTAATTTGATTACAATGAAGCAAGTCAGCTTTGTTCCAAAAGACACAAGACATGGGCATTCAGTAGATGCAACATGATAAAAAAAATAATAAAAGTGACCAGGTGCTCAATATAAAAATAAATACAACTCCCAACTTTGAAAACCATATAAAAATGTGTAACACAGAAATGTTTGAAACAAAAAATTATGAATCACTTCCTGTAGCCAATTTTGTGTTTCTGTTCACCTGAGCTGAGCTCTCAGTCATGAATGAACATTTGATGATGCAGACAAAGAATTCAGGTAATTTGTTGGCAGGAAAAAACTCACACGGCAGCCATTATTTTCTCCCCCTGCACTTAATACAAGGTAGTCATTTAACTTGATAGTCTAATTCATCATGTAGTATCGCTGACAAAAAACAGCTTTAGCTTCTCCACTCTGGTCTGATAGCAGCAAAGTGAGAGAGTCTATTATTACTGTTGAATATTTCAGAATCAGAATCAGTTTTATTGCCATTGTCAGTGAATACACAGACTAGGAACTTGCAGTTAAGAACACCCATTCTTATTACACATCCATAACAAACATTGGGGAGAACRAATGCCCAGGTCTTTCGCAACATGGTCACGCTACCTTTTGCAGCTTGGAATACACACAATAGGAAAAATGAGTTTAAAAGATGCTCTGATCCTATGTTTACACATAAACACAGAATCATACGCTAAAAAAACCCACTTGCTCAGTGCAAGGCAGCTAAGGGGGGTGGGGGTGGAAGGGTGGAATCAAACACATGGTACAGGGTGGGATGCAGCAGACCCGGTGACGTTTCAGGTTAATACTCCATGCTGGAACCAATCAGAGACCTCCAGAGTCCAAAACAAGTTATTATCAACCCAAGCTCAGTTCACCAGAGTTCAGTTCTCTGTCACCACCACCTCAGCCTTCGGACTGTTAAACCCACGGATGATACGGGGAAGGGAATGGGGAATCAAGCCTTTGTTCTCATGTCATCCAGGGGAAGTTTTAATAACTGTCAAGCGCCAAAGTCAGCTGCTGCAGGGATCTGAAAGATAAACATAATTGTTTTGGGACAAGCAGCCTTGATTTTTTCACTGCTTTCAGTCTTTAACTGCATCTCTGTAATGGCGAAAAATGCCAAATGTTTTGAATTTCATCACCTCCCCGCCTATCTTTCCATCTGAAACTTCACCCAGGTGTAATCCTCCTACTCACGGGCACGCTGCTGAACTGAGATTCTTGTCAGAATCCCATCCAGTTTGTGACTTATACCCCCCAACATCAGAGTCTGTGCGTTTCCAATATGGGAGATTCCGTCCAAGGTTCCTGACAGATTCTCACAGACACGGACTGCTGTCAGGATCGCTTTCATTTTTTGAAAAGCCAGAACTGCTCCACAGCAGATCAGCAGGAATCCAGTTATCATAAATCCAAATATGTACAAATCTTTCACGTCTTCAATGGAAAGCAAACAGATCAGGTTCCAACCCCCCACAAGAACCAGCGACCTGACCAGCCATCAACATTCCACTGGGCAGCTGCACTACCCTCGCTCCAATCTCAGTGTGGAAAAAATAGTGTCGATTGCATTCAGAGACCAGTTGACCAGATCCATAATTCCTTTTGTTTTCAGATGATAGGTAGAAGAAAGGCTTGAAAAAGCTGCGAAGCAGGAAGGAGGAACAGGTTCGAGAGAGAGAGAGAGAGAGAGAGAGAGAGAGAGAGAGAGNGAGAGAGAGAGAGAGAGAGAGAGAGAGAGAGAGAGAGAGAGAGAGAGAGAGAGAGAGAGAGAGAGCAAAAGTGTCTGACTCCTCTGAAGGCCAAGCAGAAAAAAAATTGTGTTTATTCCTGATTTTCCACGTTGTTAAAATATCAGAGCTCATTGGATTCATAAAAACATCAGTCTAATATCCTAAACTGTTCTCGTTTTTTGACTGATTTTATTTATTTAGATCAGACCTGCTTTGTGTGTCTCTAATTATTAAATCTCATCTCATTTACAACTGTAAATATTTAGACATGAAGATATTCAGAAACACTCAGCACTGCAAGAACATTTATGACTCTTCTACAAATTGTGCGAATGTGTGTACGAGTGCCGTGGCAGCACGCAGACATTTGTTGGACCTTGCTGACTAATTTATATTCTAGATGTGTTACTTTCAGGCCGATGTGCTGTATGAATTACTCCTCAGTCGTTCTGCTTTGCCCTCTTCTATTTTTTTCTCAACCTTTCTCTCTTTTAATTCTTTAATTCTATTCTCTGCTTCCTTTTCTCTTGGTTCACGAATGTCTCCTGCTACGTTTTTTTTTTTTAATTTAGTCTCTGAAGAATTAATTGTATAATAATGTGGCCGAACTGAACTCCCTTCCCTCTTTTTACAGAAAGCAGAAATTGCTGTGGCCCCGCTGACCATCACTCTGGTGAGGGAGGAAGTGATTGACTTCTCGAAGCCCTTCATGTCGCTGGGAATTTCCATCATGATCAAGAAGCCCCAGAAGTCTAAACCAGGCGTTTTCTCTTTTCTGGACCCGCTGGCTTATGAGATTTGGATGTGCATAGTGTTTGCTTATATTGGAGTCAGTGTTGTCCTGTTTTTGGTGAGTGGGCACTTAAACATTAGCTCTTAAGCTGGATTTTGATTGTATATTCAAAAATTAAAGTTTAGGATAAGTTTTTTTGTTTATTCCCCTCAGTTACATGCAAAACGAAAGAGGAAATGGCATCAAGCATAACTGGTCTAAATTATTTGAGGTGTGCTGATATAGGGCCTGATGTAATGTTATAGGGATACCACTCATTTTTAATAATTAGACCTTAGTTATTTACATTAGCACACAAAGTTATCATAACAAGTCTGCCTATACTGCAAACATTAGCTTTGAAAAATCTGTTTTAAAGCACTAGATTATAGTCTAAATCTTCTCAAATAAAGTGAAATAATCTGCCAGTGCAGTCAGACTGTTGCACTTATGAAGACTTCTTGAAATAAAATTAAAAAATTCCAGGCTAGCAAAATTAATTATATAACACAATCTGTTTGTACTTAGTATAGTCTCAAAAAAAAAAACATCCAATGTGTTTTTTAGCTGCATATAAGATCGTAAGACAATTTTTGCAGTGCAATTTCATTTGAACTTTAATATCAGCTCCACAGTTTAAAACATATCTGGATATAAGGAAAACAACTGATATGTTTAAACATTTAAATCTATTTATCCTGCTTTATTCCCCGATGATCTTCACAATGATCTGATCCCCTTTCTTGTGCCCCGGCAGGTGAGTCGCTTCAGCCCATATGAGTGGCATGCAGAGGAACCAGAGGAGGGGGCCCCAGAGCAGGGCCCCACTGACCAGCCTCCCAATGAGTTTGGCATCTTCAACTCGCTGTGGTTTTCTCTGGGAGCCTTCATGCAACAAGGCTGTGACATCTCGCCACGGTGAGTGAGGGGGAAAGCCCATCGATGATATTGGAGGCTGCACACGGGACGTGTGAATGTTTATTGTTGGCACACTGTAGCAGAAGTCTGCGCTGATTCATAGTGTC